GGGGGGGGGGGGGGGGGGGGGTCCAAAGAAGTTGCACGATTGCAAAGAGCAAAGGGGAAAAATTAACTGGAAAATAGCCTTGTACTGGCTCAGCTCAACCTTAAGGAAACATGGTGGCCGCCATCTTACTCAAGTCCCGTCGCGCCAACCTCAGCCCCTACAGCCGCATTTCGCGTAGCCGGCAAGGCCATAGGCCAGCTTTGTTAGGGCCACCACTGTCCGCATTCTTTGTTGTCCTTACTACGCCAATCATGGCGTTGAGAGGCGCTCGTCTTGCAGGAGTGCCCTTGCCCTTTGGCTCATCCTGCCTGGCATTCCAGGCGTGCACCCCAACGGCAATCATACGCTGCTCACTAGGTCTACCGGCGGATCCCCTCTCTATCACCTGTCAGCAGAACATGGCCAACTTTGGCCTGCAAGTCAAGATCGAAAGTGTCGGCGAGGTGGAGGAGCTGTGTGTATGTGTGTGTGTGTGTGTGTGTGTGTGCTATTTCCGTTACATCCATCCATCCATCCATCCATCCATCCTCCTTCCCTTACCCTGGACCCAACTATGTACACACACGCGCGCGCACACCGCGGCGGCCGCAGCACAGCTTCACCAACCCCAGTCTCTTTCTTAAGTACCCTCATCCCGTTCCCCAGCCGCCCCGCCCCGCTCTCTGCCCCACGAAAGCATCATTATGGGAAAAAAGAAAAAAAAAACGGCACCCAGTTCACAGATATCACTACGCCCTCCCCTCCCCGCCTCCCGTCTAGACAATTGCCCTACTTGCACTTGCGCGGGTGCGCGCAAAGCTGACCACCGGACGTGTGGAGTGGGGGCGGGCTGAGTTGTCACCGCGCAATGGCTAGTGGGCTGGCTGGGCTGGGCTGGGCTGGCTCCTTTGCTGCAACGCTGCGCCAGGACACATGTGAGGGGGGCTATTGTCTTGGCGCATCCGCCCGCTCGACCACCTCGCTATCACTATCACTAACTATTCTGCTTCCTTCTAGCCTAGCCGTGGCATGGCGGCGGCGGCGGCGGCCATGTGGCGTGCGAAAGAGAACGCGAAAGCGGGGGCAAATGGGAATGGGAATGGGAATGGGAATGGCATTGGGGAATTGCAGCAGCACAAGCAGCGAGCGAAAAGCCCATTCATCTTGAATTTCTCAGAAAGCGCGGCTTTTTGTAGCTGAGATGATGATTATGCGTCTAATCTATAGTACAAGTATAACAGCTGGGCTAAGGAGGTGGGCCGGGGGAGGGGGGGGGGATAGATAGATTCTGTCTGCAATGTAATATCCTCACACGAGATGGACTGTTAGTCGGATGAATAATACTCATTCTCTTTTCTTTTCCTTTTTTCCCTACATACTACCCCATACTTTGCCCTCCATATGCTTACTGTAAACAAGAAAAAAAGAAAGAAAAAAAAGAACACATTGTGCAAAGTTCAAGTTGCATGCATGCTACAGGTGGAAAGCAGATAAAAAGAACAAAAAAATGGAGGTTGGGGTATGCTGCGAGTACAACAGCATACCATGAGATAGAGATAGAGAGAGAGCAACGCCATGTCATGCAGAGAACAAGGGCAGAATCCCATGCGGCGCAGGCCGCTGCTGATCAAGGCGGTGTTGCCGTCCATGTAAACACACCACAAACACCGCCGCCGCCGCCTCCACCAACTCAAACCGGGGGCCTCTTCATTGGCGTCCGGGCTCCCGATGTTTTGGGACTGACGGCGAACAGGCCAACTGCCGGCATCCTAGGACTTTTCAGGGCGTTTGGAGCGTTGGCCGTCTCGAAGCGCTTGGACGCGTAAGGCGCAGTCGGCAGAGGCGAGCTCTGGAGGCCTGTAGCCACGTTCTGCGGGCCCTCTTCAGTGCGACTGGAGATTTCGTTCAACTCCTCAAACTCGCTCTTTTTTTCCCAAAGCAGGTCCTGCACTTCCTCGAGATGCTGCTCCAGCATGTCGTCGAGCGTATCCTTGGGCGACTGGATCAGGTTGCCGAGCTTCTTGCGCATCTTGCGCTGGCGGCTGGGATCCCACACGAAATGGCTGTTCTTGACGAATATCATCGAGTGCTGATGGCAGCGTCAGCTAAGATTCAGGGACCCAGGCTAACTTTCGCTTACTGAGTGGTACCAGCTAGAGATGGTGTCATCCGTTGCCCGCTTGATGGACTGAATCGTCGTTCCAGCCACAAACCCAATAAGGCATTCAACCCGGCTCTCAGGATCGGTGCAGTTTTCTGCAAAGTCAGCAACTGCAATTCTCGGCGCAGCAAGAAAAAACTTACCGTTGTGGCTCAACAGGTCGACAAGCCCCAGATATGCGTCACCGATACCCATCAAGAAGACTTGTGTTGCTTCATTCGGCCTAAAACTGCGTCAGCCACCTTTTTGAAGTTACTTGGCTGACTTACTCGATATAGTTTTCCCATAAATAGCTCGCGAGCTCGCGAGTCTGCTGCGCGCGAACTACAGAGTCGTCTGATTTGGTGAAACCAACCTCAGGCTGGCTTACGTTAATAGGGGTTTCTGACTCGGAGGCTCAGCCAGAACTCACATCCTCGACCGCTACAACCCTAGGAATATTGACATCGATAACCTGGAAATTGTTCTTGATGGCCCAGTCAATGTACCTCTTGGTAACATCAGTCTTCAATCCAAAGTCAGCCATTACACAGTACGAGACTGCTGCTATACTTACGAGCCATGTGTTGTGCAGCTCGCTCTTACCCGAGATAGGATCAGAGTGATCTCGGAAACTCGGTGGGTCGTGGAAGATGACGAGTAGGGGGAAGGCCTCCATGAAGTTCGGTCTGTTGTGGGTTAGTGTGAGTCTACGAATATGACATTGTACTCACGTGGCGACAATGTTGTGCTCAAACGTCTGTGCCAAGCCAGCTTTGTTGATTTGAAGGGGCGGAAGAGACACCATTGAGTGTTCTGCGGCCAGACGTTGACTCTGCCATTCTCGAATGATCTCGTGCAATCGATACGTATCCTGGTAGCTGGGATCCGCCTTATCCAGGTGTTTGGGATAGAGCGATTTCCAATACTTTGAGTGCTGGCGTTTGACATTTTCGACGGTGTATACCGCGCTGTCCTTTGGTGCCGGAAGGTCATCACGCAACCGGTCCGGAGGCTCCAGCATGAGCACTTTCGTTACTGCCAGTGCAGAGCGCGCGATCGATCGCAGGTTGTATCCCCCTTCGAGACAAATAACGAGTTTCCCCTTGGCCAAGCGCATGAGCATGTGCGTCATGTGACCGTAGCATGCAGGCGTAACAAAGCATCCACCCAACAGGTCACCCTCGGCCGCATCAAATCCAGCTGAGATGATGACAAGATCCGGGTTGAACTCGGTAGCGATGGGCATAACAATCTCCTGGAATGCGTAGAGATACTCTGAATCACCCATACCATGTTCTGCCCACGGAATGTTTACATTCTTGCCTTCGCCACGCCCTTCACCGCAATAATCAAGATTGCCGTCGGGCAAGTTAGGGTAGAAGGTTCCGCCCTTGAAAACATGCAGTGAGATGTAAAGCACATTGGGGTCGTCATAAAATGCGTGCTGAATGCCGTTGCCGTGGTGCACATCCCAATCCAGAATCAAGACCCTGCGGCAGGTTTCTGGATAAGCATTCTGACATACGCGGGTGGCGATTGGAACGTTGTTGAAAATGCAAAATCCTGACGGCTGATCACTTTCCGCATGATGTCCTGGAGGGCGGATGATGGCGATTGCGTTTCGCACGACTCCCTGCACTACCGCTTTACATGCTTCAATGGCACCGCCAGCTGCAAGCTTGGCACACTCATATGTGGAGTTGTTGAGATAGATTGAGTCGAGCCGCTCAGCCTCATACTTGAGCTCCTCGGGGGTCATGTCTTATTGTAAATCAGCCATGTTCACCTAGAGCCGCAGCCAAGCGAACTTACCTTGAAACGACCGCACAAGATTGTAATGATCCTCAGTATGTATCAGCAGTATCTCTGGCCTGGTTGCAAAGCGGGCCGCAATCCTCCAACAATGGTCTTCTTGGTCCCCGTCCGACGTGCTAGAAGCTACCAAACCGGCTTGCCTGAGCTCCTCAAAGATTGAATGAATTCGTCGCGGGTCTTCTGGATGAATGTCATCCGGATTGATATTCATGTCTGGGAGTTCAGCATGGAAGCGCATGCGCGGGTCGTAAACAAGACCTGTCTTTGAGGTGGCATAAACAAGCGAAGACCGTGACTTTGGAGGTATGCGAACTTGCGGACTTGTATGGCGAGGTGGGGTTGGCTTTGAAGTACTCATTTTTTCAGACCTGCTACTAGGCGAATTTGTTCTCCTGTGAGATGCAGGGTTGCTTTGGTGGGAGTTTGGATGCAGTAACGACGGGGCCTTGGAAGGGCTGTGAAATGGCAACTGCTCTTGTTTGGACAACGGTGGGCCCTTGACGTTTCCAAAGATTACGGATGGGACGACTGTGTCTGGTGCATGGTCGCCGTTGGGCTCCGTGGAGACGATTATTGAGTCTTCCCCCATCGTATAGTCTTCGTCATCCATGACTGTATTGATGGTGGAGCGGGCTAGTAAGCCTCGCTTCACAGTCGCGGGCCGGCAGCTAGGTGAATACGTTAGCGAAAAACACGCCAAATATAAAGTTATGTAGCGTGGGTGCAAGTTGTGGCGCACGTTGTGAGAGAAACTGCTATCGGTGGACTGGCGAGGGTCGTTGTCTGGTTTGGTGATACGTCTGACAAAGGAGACTAGAAAGGTTCGCAAGAGATCCACGATGATCACTCTGGAAGCAAGCGAAGACGCTCAGAACCTCATTTCTTTTCATCGGCATCGGCGCTTGAGAAGCGCGAGCGAAGAAAAAGGCAGAGGCTTTATGCTGCTGAGAAGAAGGTATTTACTCACTAAGAATATGGCTACCGCATTGAGCTAGCTATGCTGTAGGCAGGATTTATCGCTCAGGACAATTAGGTCTGAGGACTGATACGCGGCCGCGACCTACTGTAGGGTCAGGATACGAGTGATTTTGGTCTCGCTAGTAATTCCCAGCCTGCCAAATGTGTGGCGTTCTGTGGCATGGTCAGTAAGGTCGATTCGCCGCTGCAGCTCTGCATGGCTGCTGCTCGCATCGCGTTGCAAGCCGAGCGCAACTCGGAGCTGTGTTTACCTATGCCTGATCTGAACAACGTGCCAATATTGCGGCAATCACCACGATTCGAAGGCCAGCTAATGGCAGTCTTCTAGAGTTAGATTCAGGTAATGTTGTTCCTGGTAGTAGGGGATAAAGTGGAGCGCTGCAATGCAGGTTCCATAGAAGGCCAAGGTTTACGGTATGACTAAGCAATGCCAAGCCATTTAGCGCTTTACAGACGGTCTCCTGTTCTTCCTATAGCTTTCCACATGAAACCTGAACTAGGTAAATCGTGTAGTCTGAATATTGCAAATGTTGATCATTTACTGAGAATATATCTGCAAGTCCACCAATCGTGTATGAGCATCACTAGGGCATCACTGAGTAAATACGAAAGAACACTGTCGAATGGCGATGCTTCATGTGAGATTTGCGCAGTCTTATCATGATGATGTTAATGTCGACTGAGCATTTGATATCTTAAAGTTTTGTGTGATGATAGTAAGAAAAGTAGACCCTGACGACGTCATCAGAAGTTTGATTGTAGATCTGCGTAATCGTTGCTTCCAGGGAGGTCATCATAATGGCTACAGTGAGTCGTGACAAGGCAAGCTACTAGACATATTCTAATCAGGCGTACTTTCCAAATCCGTGTATAGCCTATTCTCCAAACCGGGTATATGGACATGGCCTTTTGGAAAGTAGTACGGCAAGGCAAAACACTAAAGTAGCGTGTGTTTGCTGGGCAAGGGAAGCCTGTTGCCCCAGTTCACGTGAAGAAACGACTTTGGCCGTATGAAAGAGCTTTGTGGCGGTTGCTGGAGTGCCAGAATTGTGGAAAGCCGAGGGTACCCAGGCTCAGCTGGTCGTCGTGTTGGGCACCCGGTCTCACCCGCTACTCTCTCGCCAAGTTACGGAACTCAGCTTACAGCGCGCCCGCAAGGCTTAGGACCCAGAAACCCAATACGAGAACGAGGACCCGTGGACATATCGTGTGCATGCATGTCCAGACGAACTTCTCCGCATCATAGCTATACCTCGGGAGCTAGCTTCTGGGGAAACGCTAGAAAATGCACGACAGGGGCGGCTCCACTACCTTGCAGATGGACAACGGCAAGTTCAACGTCACTTTGTATTCACTCTGGTAAACAATGGTTGAGGTAATTATTATTCATTCATTTCATGTCTAGCATAACGCATTCTTCAGTGAGCCCTTATTTTCGTCCCCGCGGAGTCCGCGCCTAGCCAAAAACACCTAGCGTGTGTTGATCGGTAATGTGATGAGGAAGTATCAGAGTTTAGGCATTGCCTGGCTCTGTCCTGACTCCTAAGCGTTGCCATCAACCTTGGCAATGTAGACCAGAAGGTCGAGGACACGGCGGGAGTAACCCCACTCGTTGTCGTACCAGGAGACGAGCTTGACGAAGTTCTTGTTGAGCGAGATACCGGCCTTGGCGTCGAAGATGGAAGAGCGGTTGTCGCCGTTGAGGTCGGTGGAGACGATGTCGTCCTCGGTGTAGCCAAGGATACCTGTGTCGAGTTAGATTTTGTACATGGCATGTTGGTGGAAGTGCTTACCGTTGAGAGAGCCCTCCGAGGCCTCCTTGACAGCCTGCTTGATCTCGTCGTAGGAAGCACCCTTCTCGATGCGGACAGTCAAGTCGACAACCGAGACGTTGGCAGTAGGGACACGCATGGCCATACCAGTGAGCTTGCCGTTGAGCTCGGGAATGACCTTGCCGACAGCCTTGGCGGCACCGGTGCTGCTGGGAATGATGTTCTGAGCAGCAGTGCGGCCACCACGCCAGTCCTTGGCCGAGGGGCCGTCGACGACCTTTTGGGTAGCAGTGTAGGAGTGGATGGTGGTCATGAGGCCCTCAATGATGGTGTACTTGTCGTGGATGACCTTGGCGAGAGGCGCCAAGCAGTTGGTTGTGCAGGAGGCGTTGGAGAGAACCTCAATGTCGGGCTTGTAGGTCTCGTGGTTGACGCCCATGACGAACATGGGGGCATCGGCAGAGGGAGCAGAAATGACCACCTTCTTGGCTCCGCCCTTCAAGTGGGCCTTGGCCTTTTCGGTGGTGGTGAAGACACCGGTCGACTCGACGACGTAGTAAGCGCCAGTCTCGCTCCATGGGATGTTGGCGGGGTCCTTTTCCATGTGGAAGCGGATCGTCTTGCCGTTGACAGTCAGGTTGTTGCCGTCGACCTTGATGTCGCCCTTGAACTGGCCGTGTGTGCTGTCATACTTGAGCATGTATGCCTACGGGGACGTCAGCCTGCAGTCCTGATGGCAGAATGTGCGTCGGGAGATGCCTACAGCGTAGTGGGGCTCGATGAAGGGGTCGTTCACGGCGACAATGTCGACGTCGTTGTGCTCGACGCTGCGGGACGGATCAGCACGAGGCGCAGCGAGTCAATCCATCGAGGACACCTACGCATTGCGGAAGACGATACGGCCAATGCGGCCGAAGCCGTTGATACCAACCTGCGAGGGCGTGTCAGTGGCCTGCTTCCGGGAGCAGCGGGGCAGGCGCGGGGGCATACCTTGACGACCATGGTGAAGTGAGGCTGCTGATGTGAGGGTTAAAGGGAATGGATTGATGGAGGGGGCCTGGGCTGGGGCTCACTGGTTTATATGTGCAACGGGGTGATGGGTAGGGGGTCAGAGGCAGATTTTTGTGGCCGGCGCAGTGTTTTGTTGGGTCTGGGCTAGGTGGGGTGAGAGAGGGGCAAACTAAATAGCAACCAGGCGTGGAGGACGTCACAGGCCTTGGTTGTTTTTCTGCAATGGGACATGCAGCGCCCGCCTGGGCCCTCTGCGCCATGCCACCCACCCGGCCGGCTATCTCGCGACCACACAGCCCGCCCAGCATCGTCGGTCGAATCATGGCTCGAGGCCGCGGAGGGCACCGGACGGCGTCGACAGCAGCATGCCTCTGCGGTACTCTCTGCCCGCACTCGCACTCGCAGCCTCGTGTATATCCCGCATGTCGCTGCGCCCGACTCCTGCCCACCGCCCGAATAGGCCCAGCATGCCACGCTGCACCGCCGTGGTATCAAGACGCCTACGAAACAAGTATGCGACCGTCGCGTAATCAAGCGACTGGCCAAGAGCACGTCGATGCGGCACCGCTGCCCGCCGTCGCCATGGCAAGCAGCCTCTTGGGCCCATTCGACAACATGAAACTCCTACTACTGTACACGCCGCGCGACAGGGCCACAGCGCATCACCGGTTCGTGGGGACGCGAGGCGGGCCTTGGTGTAACCACCGAGATTCTCCCCACCAAGCAAAGCCGACCTTGGGTTAACATGAAGCGTGGCGTGCCTATCCGCGGCCGGGACGCCGTCGTCAAACTGATTGCATTATGTTATATCAGCCCTAGGCCCGCCACGCCGCCTTTCCGTGCCTTGTACTTGTGCAAGAGCTATGACAATGCTGTGCTGAAGCTGGAGGGGAGTCGAGTGGGCGCGGAGTGGGAGCTGAGCTGGAGCTTGATCTTGAGCTTGAGCTTGAGCTTGAGCTCGACCTTGCAGCTATGGAGCCATGATAGCTTCATGTCGATCTGGCTTCCTCTGCTCCGATCACGGCATAGGGACCTTGGCGGATGCTATGGTAGACGCAGTTTTGCGGCTTTTTTCCATTGCAAAAGAAAGGATTCGAGACTTGAAATAAACTTTGGCGGATAGACGTCGACGCTCAGTGGGTTAAATTGAACCCCGCCCACCAATGGCATACACGACCTGCAGATTAGCAAAACATCGACGAGAAGCTTACAGTAGACCAGCAAGAGCTTATTCATGAGTCGCAAATGGTGCAAGGAATGTCCTTTTATGATTATACAGGGGAGCATTATTGCTGGGCGCTGCAATGTTTGTCTCAGTGCATCACCTACCCCGCCATTGAGCGAATTTGCGAGCGTTTCGTACGCTCGTTATATGCTCACCGGGTCCCCAATACTGCACAAAAAAGGAGAAAGTTTAACTTCAAGTGAAATACATGTATAGACTGTCTCCCGTGGAATTTGGATGTAGTCAATTCTTGTTCATTATTTCGCCGAGCAAAGACATGGCTCTCCCTGCACACTTGCACGCTTACACACTTGCGCACTAGATAGCAACATCTTTGCAATATACACAACTACTTTTCCAGAGTCCAGAGTAAACACCACAGCAGATGATAAGAGCGATGCTCATGAACTGGGTCTATACGTTTGGAATGCTGTAATGGCAGTCATTAGCATATATCCGCTAGCTCCCTCTTCAAGCAGCGGACAGCCCGGCAATCGCGGTAAGAGCGCGCAGTCAAACTCTCGAGCGCTCATACCCTCACCCGGTTGAATTTTCAAGCACAATTGAGCCTTATTGATAAACACAACAGCAATTGCAGTGATATCGTGAGGCTCTGGCATATCGCGGAAAGGCTAACACCAACACCCTCATTGGCTGGTCACGCCGCTCGGACCATGCCGAGATGATCGTTCCACCACCTTGGCGTTCCCTCTTGCAACCACATTTTGCAAGATAGCTCTCCTGGCCCACCTTCGACTCCATCAACACCACGATCCATTGGCACCTCTAGGTCCCTCGACGGGAATCTCCTCCCTTTCTTTTCCATTTTCCGACACTCTCCACTCCACCCGCCGCCATGCTGCGCTCGTCCATTGTCCGCGCTTCCCAGAGCTCGGCTGCCGTCATCCAGTCGACCGCGACACGCACCGCTCTTCCCAGAGCCGCCCCCGTAGCCTGCCAGCTCCAGCAGTCCCGCCAGGCGCACGCCATCTCCAACCCGACCCTTGCCAACATTGAGAAGCGATGGGAGGACATGCCCCCTCAGGAGCAGGCCGACCTGTGGATGACGCTTAGGGACCGCATGAAGACCGACTGGAAGGAATTGACCATGCAAGAGAAGAAGGCCGGTGCGTAATTTTCCACTGCGCGCATTTGGATGGTGTTGAGCCTCGTATGGCGTATCTCGTGTTTTGATCGAGATAACCGACTTGGCCCGCAGCATCTGGTGCGACCAACATGGACTTGTCGCCAAACACGGCAACTTGATCTGTTTTTCTATACCAGCATCAGGCTGACTTTATTTTGTTATTGCAGCCTACTACATTGCCTTTGGTCCCCACGGCCCCCGCCGACCCGCGCCCCCAGATGAGGGCCGCAACGTCTTCCTCCTCTCTTCCGCAGTCATTGCCGGTGCATTTGCCATCTTCGCCTTTACCCGCATGTTTGCCAGCCCCGTCCGGCCCCGCACCATGACAAAGGAGTGGCAAGAGGCTACTGAAGAGTACCTGAAGGTGCGTTTCACTGCCATGATAGCATCCATTCGTCTGACAATACTGACCTTTTGCAGGCACAAGGAAGTGAGCCCATTACTGGTTACAAGGGAATGATGGTTCAGAGCAAGTCTGAGAAAGACCTGCCACCCAACCAGAAGATCAACGATGAGTAAACGCCCTGAATAGGAGCGTCACAGCAATTAGCATACCAATACCGATACCTCATTTTCCTTGAGTCCACTTCTGTTTGGTACTGCCTATGTCACATTGCAAGATTAAAGCCATATGAGCGGCTTTGATCGGCCATGGTTATAATTGTCCTCCTTGTACAGAATCTAGAGGCTTTTGCGTCTACATGGCAAGCAAGATGCACAGGCACTTGAATAAATGATCTCTTTGCTACATGAGTTGAGGACCTGTGTCGAGGCGGACTGTATGAATGCAAGTCACGTAGATTGCATTGAGTGATGACATTTTGTTTGGTCAGTTGCATGATTGGTATTCTATATGATATATCTACATGTAGACGGATCTGTTACAACTTGATTGCCGCATGCACGTGTTGGACTGAATTACAATATCAAAACAGATGATTAGGTACTGGAGTTCATTTACAACCTCCTTGCAGAAATATAAGCATGTAAACATTCGTACAAGCAACAGAAACGTGCTTGAAATTGTAGTTGTTTCTCTAGAAGCCGAATCTTGGATGAGTTTGCATCAGATATCATATCACTCCAGTTGAACAAAAAATGATCATATTATCTCAAAACTACATGGATATTGGGATTATTGACTGCAGCAGTTGAACAACGAGTAGAAAGGCTTTCTTTTCCCCTTTCACTAAAGCATCTTCGAATCCACAGTCACTGTGAACACAATCCAACACCTCATCAGCCACCTAAAATAGCCTCCTAACCATCTTCCCACCAACCAACAAGGCCACACGCATCATATCTCACATGTACCACGTTCCACAGCATGCCCGACAGTCATGCTAACACCAAAAGTAAGTTTACCCATCGTCGTAATCCGCGGCCGAGCATCGAGGCATACATCAGCCTTTTGCCACTTGAGAAGCAACATCAGTCAGCTTGGCTGTTTCACGTCAGATGTACAGCGGAGACCTGGTTTCATGAGTACAACCGCGGCCGTTTTGTTATGTCCACGGGTGGGCATCAGGTGCAGGGTAATGTAGCAGCATGGTGGGGCGGGCTTGGAACTCAGAACATGCATGTATATGACCCGTGATGGGATTCTCTGGGGCGGATGGAATGTGGAAAGTTGCTGCTTTGGTATCAAAGGGGCTTGGGGGTGGAGTAAATGAGTGTTCTGTTGCGAGGAGCGCTTCTGTTGTTTCTTAGATACCTCCAAGTAGCAGGCTGCGACTCTCACTGTACATCTGCTTTTGTTGGGCTATTCTGATTATTATACCAGGTCTGCGACATGCGAGACCAACTGTGCATTTCACGTTGTACACGACTTTTCCACAGCAAAACCGCCAGGTCTACATGCCTTGTATCTTCGTCCAGCTTACCAATTCTGCCTGTTCATAACGCATCACAAGGTTGCTGGAAGTATGTATGCATATACTCGGTGAAATCGAAGAACTGGAAATATAGACAATGTGTCGATCTAAACTCTCATTTCTATCCTCGAATCTGAGCCATGTGCTTGTAGATGTCGATGGAATACTCCCATCATGTATAGCGGTATGCTCCAGTGGCCTGCCACGAAGTTGTCATCACCTCTGTACCTCCTATGATAACCTGGTAGTATTCATGGATTTGGATTACTTTGAGCTTGTTCAAGTAGAAGCTCATTGACATACCTTTGTATCTATGCATGGATCCTACATGCCGCGAAGTGAAGGTCTTTGTCAAACACTCCCCCTTACACCCATTCCTCACAATTCACGGCACAGGCAATAGACTGCAGACATCATTCGCTGAACAAGAAAAGCTGATTCTTCGTGTAAGATAGATTACAGGAAGCCATGCACGTCGAAGCATTCGCTTATAATCCCCAGTTTTCCGAGGTATATCTTTTGTACAATGTGAGACTACCAGCGAATTGCCCTAGACATACTAGCCGACTCTTCACCCACCACTAAAGTCCGCTTATGACTTCTCGAGATCGGCAAGAATCTTCTCTCCCTTGGCACGGGCAGACGCGAAGTCACCAACCATGTAGAAGGCACCTATCACTGTTAGCATGGCTGGATTTCATGGTTGCAAATAGTGGAATAACATACCCTCAGGAAGGTCGTCACCGTCGCCATTCAGGATAGCCTTGAAGGAGTTGATGGTCTCCTTGAGATCGACAAGTGCGCCCTCGATACCAGTGAAGACCTGGGCGACAGCGAAAGGCTGGCTCAGGAAACGCTGGATCTTACGGGCACGCTCGACGGTAAGCTTGTCGGCTTCAGACAACTCGTCCATACCGAGAATGGCAATGATATCCTGGAGCGACTTGTACTCCTGGAGAATCTGCTGGACGCGGGTGGCGATCTGGTAGTGCTCCTCACCAATGACACGGGGGTCCAACATACGGGACTTGGAGTCAAGAGGGTCGACGGCGGGGTAGATACCCAACTCGGAGATACCACGGGACAAGACAGTGGTGGCGTCCAAGTGAGCGAAGGTGGTGGCGGGAGCAGGGTCAGTCAAATCGTCAGCAGGGACGTAGACGGCCTGGACAGAGGTAATGGATCCCGTGGAAGTGGTGGTAATACGCTCCTGCATGATACCCATGTCAATGGCGAGGGTGGGCTGGTAACCGACGGCAGAGGGAATACGACCAAGCAGAGCAGACACCTCAGAACCAGCTTGTGTAAACCGGAAAATATTATCAATGAACAGCAGCACGTCCTGTCCCTGGGTCCTGAACTCTTCAGCTACCGTTAACCCTGTAATTCGTTAGTAAACGTGCCGTTGAAGGCTTAATGGAGGCGGTTGTGGTTGTTGGGTGTTGATGGATGTTGTGTTTTGGTGGATTTTGGGTTTCGGTGGATATTGGACATTTGTGTATATTAGGCAGTACTGGATCTTGGGCACTGATGGATACTAGGTATTGATGGATGTCTGGGTAGTGGTGGATGTTGTGCGTTGGTGAGGAAATATACATACCAGTCAAAGCGACACGGGCACGGGCACCCGGGGGCTCGTTCATCTGACCGAAGACAAGCGCGACCTTGGATTCACCGTCAAGCTGAATGACAGAGGTCTCCTGCATTTCGTGATACAGATCGTTACCCTCACGGGTACGCTCACCGACACCAGTGAAGACGGAGAAACCACCGTGGGCCTTGGCGATGTTGTTCTGTCTCCCAGTTAGCAGATGTCGATCTCGTAGCCATTGCGTATCCTTACAATCAGCTCCTGAATGAACACAGTCTTTCCGACACCAGCACCTCCGAAAAGACCAATCTTTCCACCACGAGCGTAGGGGGCGAGCAGGTCGACGACCTTGATACCGGTAACAAGGACCTCAGCAGAGGTGGACTGCTCGGTGAACTCCGGAGGGTCGGCGTGGATGGAGGCGTACTTGTCAGTCTTGATGGGGCCACGCTCGTCAATGGGGTCACCAGTGACGTTCATGATACGACCAAGAGTGCCGTTGCCGACAGGGATAGAGATGGGAGCTCCGGTGTCAACCGCCTTAGCACCACGGACAAGACCCTCGGTACCGTCCATGGCAATGCATCGGACAATGTTCTCACCCAAGTGTTGCTGTGTTGTGTCAGTGATGCTGTCTCGGCCATTCAATGCTTGGCGTCCTTACAGCGACTTCGAGGACAAGCTTCTGGTCACCGTTCTGGGTCGTAATAGCGTTGAGAATAGCGGGGAGCTGGTCACCCTCGAACTTGACTGGAATTGGTTGTCAGCGAATTCGTCCGAGATGCCAATCGCAATGCCTGCGATAGAGCTCCTCCATCTCCAGCAAGGAAAAACTTTTTAAATCAATAGGAAACGAGGCACACCGACCATCACAGATTGCGCCTATAACAGCGTGTATCTTTCCTACTTTCTGCGAGTCTGTGGAAGCAAAGCGAGTGGAGAGGGCGGGTGCGAAGTTCTTCTTGAGGGCCATGGGGCGGATGGCCGGCCTGCGCATGGAGGCGCGGAGCGCCTGCTGGATCCCACTATCCGGAAAACGACGTCAGTCATCTCGATTCATCATCAATTGGGTTCATCGGATCGTTGGCTTACCTCTTCAGCATCGTGAAGTGTCGGTTGTATGGTGTTGAGTGGAGGGTGGTTGTGAGGAAAGAGCTTCTCAAGCTCAAAAGGAAGGCACCCGCTGAGACAAAAGCGATCCGTGCTTCGCCTAGCGCCCACATGGTTAGCCGGCACCCCGACATCGACATCAAGACTGCAACACACCTCAATTGGTACAAGTATCTTACTAGCAATGGTAATAGATTAGTAATATTCTGGTTATAATCTTCAATTGCATGCGCATGGTGTTGTTGCATCTTTGCTGCGTCTAATCTGGCACTTTACCCCACCTGGCCCTTGCGGAAAACCTGCTACTCCACAACACGAGTCTCGCCTTTGATCGGATGCTGCGATGCTTGAGTACCTCACGCTATGTTCCCCTTTGTGTTATTACTTTTGATAGCCTAAAGAGGCTATGCAAAGATAATAGAACATGTAGAGATTTCTATATTAACTAAATATGGATATAATCAAGTAGATTCTACAAAGAACTGATATACTACAAATTTTAATAGCACCAAGAATAGGCTTTTCTTGAATGTACGTAGTAACATAGAAACACTATAAAGAGAGGCTACTCTATTTACCTACCCTAAAATCCCGCTAGCATAGCATACACTAGTAGAATACTTTTGATAGTATCGCCTTTTCTGTTACACGGGGTTCGGCTATACTTCTCTGGTCTCGGTCCGGGTTAGGGCGAGTAGACTAAAGCGGTAGTCCGTGAGATTGTTTGCGAAGTGCTATGTGGAAAAGAGTTATAGGATTTAACCAAAAGAATGAACAATCAATTCTATACTAAGATAGAATAACAAGTATCAATCTGTGTAAGAGATGAACTATTCTAAGTTAACCACAACGAGTGTAATAATGAAATCCAACACATTCTTATACCCATTGCTTTAGGTCCTGTCCTCCTGTGCCTCCCGCCAAGATGGGAGGTTAAGGAGGACCATGGCCTCCCGATCTGCGCTGGCCTCCCGGAGGCCACGCCTTGGCGGGATGCCAAGTCACGTGATCCGCGCGCCCCGCGCTAATCATTACCTGGGCGTCCTTTGACGCCTTTGTTTCCCTTAGGTTGTCTCCGCAACCTTTCCTGGAAACCTGTTGAGAGGAATCCTTCCTGTTTGTTCGTAACATTTTCCACCTTTAAAATTACGTTTTCTAGGTAATAAATCCTAATCTCTTTAGATAATATACTTCAATATTAATAGTTAGAAGCCTATATCTCTAGAGTAGTGTTATAGTTCTAGCTTCTATATAGTTTACTTCACACACACCAACTTTCGAAAATCTCAGAAAGCTCTCAAAATCTCGCATCTAAGGCAACCGCCTACTGCGATTCTTTTGCAACTACTCTGACGTTCTAGATCCCTCGCGCTGTCGAGATATCTAGAGTTGAAAGAGAAAGTGCGCTGATTATACGTGTCCTATACACGCCTATCATCAACACCAACGTCAAGTTTTCTAGAATAGGTGTAATTTTTGTTAAATATATACAAATCCCTTACAAGAAACTAATTACAGCAAGTTTTAAGACGTGCAGCGTGCGCGCTGTGGAGCTATAAGCTATAAGAGCAGACAGTTAGGACACGTCTCACACTCAAAACAAAAACACAACAGACCACTCTAGCTTAGTAATAAGAGAACCCCAGCAACAGAATGCCACCAGAAA